TTTCTGCCAGCTAGAAAATGCTGCAGTAACCTCCTAGAGGAGGGGCAGTCAACCTTTTTATACCTACCGCCCACTTTGTAAGTAGTAAAATTTCCTTACCGGTTTCGCAGTAACATAGTTTAGCGTAAATGCATAGTAATTTTTTTAGTGGAAGCTTAGTAAAACTTAAATTGTTTTAGTGGAAGCCTAGTAAGAGCTTAGCTAAATTTATGCATTTATGTATACTTTGCTTATAATTTATAACAGACAGAAAATTTATGGCCCACGTAACTAGCCGAGACATCGGTTCTAGCGAAACTGTTTTAGCTACGAAACCTTCAATGGCAGGAAAAGGGGGGAGTCCTTTTCTCGGAAAAATTTTTCTCAACCTCACGCTTTTTTAAGATATGATAATCCTATTATGCACGGTATACTCGTAGAACAACACCAAAGAAAAGTGGTAGAGCTGTATAAATATATGGAAACAGGAGAGAGTTGCGCGCAGGGAAACAGACTTTCATCATCGGATGGACAAGAGCCTCTACCGCCCACCATTAAAGCTTAAATCGCCCGCTAGTGGGCGGTAGGGACCAGGTTGATTATCCCTATCCTAGAGTAATGCTTGTTTGAATTCAAAAGCCCAAATAGGATGGCATAGAACAAAATATTTGAAAATTTCCTAATACAGTGAAATAAACTGTAGTAAAGAAAATCATGTTTCGGAAACATGCCTTTAGAGATAACTTACCAGGTAACATCTTAATCGGAGCTGAATAGCAATTTTAAACGCAGTAGATGCATAATATTTCGGAATGATAAAGTCAAAGTTAGTACGTGACTAGACAGTTAAAGAGCGTTAAGTGATTGTTAATGATAAGTGGAGCTGCTACATCCTTAAGCATTCATTTTAACGATAAGATTCACTTGCTCGAATACTACTTGAGATTAAATGAACATTTTCAGGTGTGGAGTTCAAGTTTGCTAAATAATTGAGACTAGTAGCCATTAAAGGTATTGGAAAAGCATATGCAATATTTTAATCGAAATATTGAAATGACTTCAGTTTTGAATAGCTTCAAGTTTGTTGAGGAGAGGCAAAACTGTTTGATATTAATTAATTGGAATGTAGGTCTTGGAAATAAATTAGTTGAAGCACAGTATCCGAGAGGTTAGGTTTCGTTTAAAATCTTAGAAACGTTTAATTAAATTATGCTTATAATTCGTAAATTTCCCACGTAGAACTATTAACTATTTTAAGACCGCGGTACCATTAATACTTGTTAAAATGACATACTCATTTACAGTGCTAAGCAAATTAAATTGTATATGCATAAATAAAATTTCGCATGTGAGTTAGATGTATTAATCCCATTTCCAATTTCTTCTTACCCTGCCGAGTGGTTAAAACCTCTGAATGCTGGTAGTTCAAACTCAGATGAATGGTCTGGCGGCATAGTTGGTTTTCACCATGTGTGACTTGAAAACGAGCCAGTTTTCCTTAGGAAGTCTTCCAAGAAAACATATCTTCCCTTAGGGTAGATATCCTTTGTGTGCTTTGCCATATTCACGTAATCTAATTCAAATAATATTTTCATTCTGCAACGGTAAGGGACACCTTTAATTTTATATAAGAGGAAAGATATTTAGGAACTGCTTTTAGTATCCTTAAAGGGTAATCCTTGTTTTAATTATGCACTCTCTTTGGTTTATTGCGATTTTATTACTATGATGATTAAAATTCCCATTATTTCCATGTCTTTATTTGAAACATGAAGGGGAACCTTTTTTTAATTGCCTTCACTGTGACCGGTTGAAAAATTTTAAATGTAAAACAAAATTACGTATTTTAAACACTTTTTATTGGCAGTATTTTGAAAACAAGAGCACTGTTAGAAGAGTAACACATTTAGTTTAAAGCTGACTAATATTAATATTTGCTAAGATTTGTTCAAACGGGTTTTTGTCTTTATTTTCGTCATTTTCATGGGGCTTGTCATAGATAAAAATGAAATGTAGTATGATTAATAATACCACAGTATACTGCTAGTACGTATATCTTTCTACAGAGAATTATTTGGCTCATGTTGTCCTGTAGTGTAAAATATCAAAATTTTTGAGTTAATTGAGGTATCAAAGCTGATGATTTTTATAATTCAGCTATCAATCTCAGCTGTTATAAACCCTTTTACTTCCCTTCAACTTGCTGATTGCCATAAAAGGAATAGCTTCGATAACGCACGTTTTTCTTTTGTAATATATTTGCTGGGCGGAGCTTTTAAATATTTAAAAGTAATTAATACTAATATTACCACCCTTTAAACTGATCTTCATTTAACTATATAAATGCTGATACTTCTTTTCTTTACTTCGTCGATGCCGCGATATTTTTTCTGTGTTTTAATTTGAATTAGTAAGCCCTCCCGATTACCTAACGAATGGAATAATGCTGTATATTAAAATGACCAATCAACGTACTTGTGTCCAGATGTTAATATTTGTATTGAAATGCATTCTTATTTATTTTTATATTTCAAAAGCATCAAAGCGTGAATATCTTACGAAAGCTCTCCTTCATCTAAATGACATATGTCGTAGGCTATAGAGGTTCTTGATAACAGGATTGATTTTTTTAAAAATTATTATAATTTATAGAGATTTCAAATGGAATTTTCTACCTATAATCTGCTGTTTCATATTAAAGAAACAAATTTTAAAATGCAATTAAAAAAATTAAGTGTTTAAATTATTAAACCCTAATTCTCTACCCACGAGTGACCGAGTAAATAAAAGTTGAATAAAAGGACGACGGTACTTACGTATTATCGCAACTTCAAAATTTCGCCAAATTCAAACAACCGTGTCAATGCAATTCAGATGTCAAGCGGTATTGCTATTTTCATATGTGTTCTTTTTATTGTATTTCAAGCTCTAACGGTTTTTATAAATAAGTCATGATATTTGTTGCCTCAAATTTAATTTAAAAATATGTGCTTATACAATTTACTAGGGGGAAAAAAAAAAAAAAAAAAGAAAGAAAGAAAGAAACTGTTGTAAAATTTTTAGAGGAACAAAATCATTTTGCCGAAAAATCGCTAAAGTGCACAGTGATGAGATGCTTTGATAGACAGCCGGTGCGCAGTGTTAGGACTGGTTAAGGATGGTGTGCACACTTAAGACTGCTGCACTATGTGAGATCGGATTCAAATCTCGTCGAATGGGCTGGCTGCATTATGGTTTGAGTTGGTTTATTTGATTACAGCAAAGCTTGATAGAACTGTCTTTCTAAGAGGAGAGAGATGCCTTGATGGAGGACTTTCTAAAGGAAATTGGCTCGTACCCACTGTACACATGGAAAAACAAGGAAACGCCCATGCAATTTACCCGTTCGCTTGGTATCAAACCCAAGTGGATCTATCAGTATTCAGCAACTTTACCGGCATTTGGCTGCATGAACGCTTTTCTGGTTTTCGTTTATGTAGCGTGAGTACGTGTCTGTCCTTTACGAAGGCATTTGTTCGATAGCAGATAATCTACCCAGTCATCAAGAAGGATTTTTTAGTTTATATTCAATCTTAAAATCGGAAGCTTTATTCCATTTCATTTCAAAATATCCTTTTAAAAAATATTTATTTAAACTTTAGATGGTTTAATTTCAGTGTATTATATTCTTTTCCTTTCCTTCTTTTTTAATTTCTACATCATAAGATTTCGTTTTATGGCGAACAATAGAATTTATGATAGCATTCGCTTTTAAGGAAAAGGAAAAACTGGTAGCATATTTTCTGATCTTATCCTTCCTTTATCTGAATCTATGCTGCATTAGAAATGAGCATTTAAAATCTCATTTCACTCCCTCCTATATAATATGACGTAGAAGAATAGGCTGAGTTTCTTGCGCAGCTACAAAGGAAGGAAATGATTTCGTTGTTGAAACACGCAATCGTTCTAGCAACGAGCCGTTTTAACAAGTCTTTCCCCAGACTTCGATTTCTCAGTTAACGCCCATGGTATTTTGATTTATTTCAATGGATGTTTCATTTTCGAAAGGAATTGGTATAACAGAGAGGCGAAGTAAACAATGGCTACTGATGAATAGTTATAGTGCCTGATCTACTTTCATTCGATTCTTACAATTTACTTATAAAATGAAGTGCACTTATCTGTATCGCAGGAAGTATTTTGGATATATAATGTCTTTTTCCGGCATTAATTTGCAAATTTCTCTTTTTCGAAGACAAAAAGGTTTGAAAGAGTGAGTGACTGTAAAGTTAGTTGCGAAGTAATTGAAGCTGAATGTCCATTACGTACATGTATAAAATATTTCTTTCTTTATTTGCATAAATTTAGTCGTTCTTTATGTTACGCAGTTTGATTTTTTCGATTTAAAAAATGAAAAATTTGAACTTAATTGGAAGTATAATATTTTAAAAAACTAAGTGTAAGATGACAAACTTGTGTAAAGCTTTGGCACAATGATAAAACCATGGAAAATTGTTTGTATGCATATCATTCTAAATTAAAATGTAGCTAATACAACTTTCTCGTTTATATATCGTTTCCTGAACGGTTCATTGAAAGTCATATTAACCGTGCTTTACGTTATTTTCTGTTTTAATGCAGAATGCAGTTTTCAAAGGCATCGTAACTTTTGAAGGAAGTGTTATTCAGATAAATAAAATAAAAAAAGAATTGTATGAATAAACTTGTTTACCCTTTGCAATGGAGAACCGACTCTCGGTCACTTGATTGGAAACGGTAGCTCGAGAGGCGATTCTCTATCACCACTTGGTTTGACAAGATAATTCGAGCGGTAACTATGTTTATTTAAGTTTGGTTTGGGCAATATCGCTTCATGAGTGATTCAACAATTCATGCGTATAAAACAACTGCCAAGCTTTAATCTTAAATATGTTTTCTAGATTTATTGTTATATATGCGTCTTCGTTAGTTCGAACTTGACAGTCGTGATGATAAGAATATTATTTTCAAAGTTACAGAGCACAGTAAAGCATAGAATAACCATGGAGGCATCAGTTCAAATGAAGGTAAGTTCGATTTTTCGTTGATGAAGAACGAAATTACGCCTTTTCATAGACCACTTGACGACAGAGAGGAGGAAAGTAGCCATGAAATGAGAGGTGGAAAAAGGCAAAACATCAGGGTGGTAGATAATGAATGCTAAAGCGGCAATGATTTCGCATAAAATTCAGAATCCGGCGGGATATCTCAAAGAAAAACCGTCAGTATCCGGCGAAATGATCGCAAGTATCTTCAGACCTTAAAAGAACCATTATATTTCTTTAAATTCTGTGTGAAATTCTTTTAAATTAGCTGTAAGAAATTAACCAAATATGCGGAAAATCGTCTCGAGCTGCTGGTTCGCTCGCGTGAAAAAAAACCTCAAGTGCAAAGGTTTAAATTTTATAATGAGGATGAATAAAGAGATATGTTTAAAATAACTATTTCATGAAAATTTAAAATAACTATTTAATGAAGATCTTTCAACCACGCAACTCAAGTAATGGAAATGAAATTCTAAAAAGAGGGAAAAAAATCTAAAAATAACTGTGATTAAGAATATAATATGAAGTATTCATTTTATCATATGTCTTGTGTAATAAAAATAATACAAACTCGGGCTTCAAATACCTAGAAACTTTTACAACATCGTATTTGCAAGAAATGTACAACTGAACAGCCTTCGGGAGTCGTAACAAAACCTGTGATGTGTAATATATATATATATATCTGCGTTCTTGGGTAGCTTATATATATGTAATGTATTTTAAAAGCACCTCTTTTTTGTATATTTTTCGATAGTTGAGAGAATTTGCTGATAAGAGCGTAAAGTAAAGCGATAGAACAAAGCACATTTCGAATCAAACCTGCGAAGTTAAATAAAAGATTAAGAACATAAGTAGAAAGGTTCGTTTTGAAATGGTTGCAGAATCAATCGCTCTCAGCAAAAAAGCGCATGTGCATAGTGATTTATTGGCTTTTTCGATTAAGTCAACTGATCAGTTTTCCCTCTTCCAATTCTGTCAGTAGGTTCACTCACGTCTATTGCGTGCCTTTTCCTCTCATAAGGAATCATTGAATTAAAATTCAGATATGAATTTAAATGAAAATTATTGGATTACTAATACAGTAAGAGCTTGTTTAATCAACTGAATTTATGTCAATCGAATAGTTATCTGGTATATACTTAATGGATTAAATTGATGTGAAAGGTACTCTTATCTAATATATTTGAGTAGCTATAAGTTATTAAAATCCCTTCATAATAAGAATTTGTATGATTTCATGTATGTTAAATAGCTTAGAAAAGTTTTCAATAATTTGTTTTTCTTTCTGATGTGTTGAAATGAGGTTTACCTAACTCTGCGGACTCGGGTAACAGGAACTGATCGCCTGGTGCCTGAAGTTCTTTTTATAAATTAAAGCTTAAAATATTCAATAAATTTGAAATTTTATTAAAAAAATTAGAGTATTTTTCCTTTCTGTCTTTTAAAATTATGATTAGGAAAGACGCGGAAAATTTTATTCTTTAACACTCAACTGGTTAACAGACGTTTTAACATTAAAAATATTTTTATTTTTTATATTTTGAATTATGAAAAGTTGAGCTTCAACTGCCTTTTTTTTACGATCTTCCTGATATTCTCAAAACTAGTCGCATTTAATCTTTCTACTTAAGTTAAATATTTTCAGTTTTGCGTCGAAATGTAGTATCACAAATCTCTTGTCCATTATTCTGTCAAAATATGACTATATATCTAATATAATAATGAGGTACGAGAAAATACAGAAGGCTTAATTGTTCCAAAACCTGAGAGAGACTTATTTCTCTTAATGTGAGTAGGTATATTTTAGACCAGGGGTTCTCAACCAGGGGGCAGTAACTCTTTGCGAGAGATTTCATAGCTTCAGGGGAGAATGGGGTCAACCTTTATTTTTAATTTAGCTGTTAAGTATTTAGTTTATGAATATAAGAAACTAAATTTGTTCAAATTTAAGTATATATAAACATTTTCTGTACCTTTTGCTATTGAATTTATAAAACAAGTAAAAAAAAAAAAAAAAAAAAACATCTAAATAGATTGTACTCTGCGATGTCCGGGCTAATGCTGGGGAAGTATGTCACTGATAACTGGATTGATAGGATTATTTAATTATGGCGAAGCATACGAGGGCTATCTGCCTAAAGGGAGGGATGCCTTCGTGGAGGGCTTTCTAAGGAAAACTGGCTAGTATACATGTTACACATGGGGAAAACTACGAAAACGCCCATGCAGCCAGCCCGTTCGCGAGATTCGAACCTCGGACCGAACTACCAGCGTTCAGCGTCTTTACCTCTCGACCGCTGGTGGCCCAATGATAACTGAAAGACACGGGTTCCTCCAAACTAACCTGCATGTTAATCGAATAGTTATCTGGTATATCTCCAAACTTTCATGCATATTGTATGCGTTTATTTCTTAAAAAAATAAGTAATTTTGCTTTGCTTTTGAGAACTTTTAAATATTTGTCGAATTCCATTGTGTGTTTTTCGAAGTGCTCTTTTATCATTTTATTAGAGTCCCCTTTTGGTTGGCGAAATCCAATAGAGTCTCAGCGGAAATCATTGCTGTCTCGGGACTAATAAAGTTATTTAGTATTTTTTTCGCTTTTATTTTCAATATGTCTCACCCCTTAAAAAAAAAAAAAATCTCAAACAATATCCTTATCATCCAAGCACTGAAAGCCCGGCTCAGTGGAGCTGCCATCAAACCATTGCTCCATGTTTTCCCGATCCAAATTTTTGAAGAATTTTATATTTTCAACTTTTCTGGCATACAACTTCAGTTCTTCCCTCAATCTCTTCAAAATTAAACAAATTTCCGTTTTCTGTATTAGAAAGAATCTTTCTCCATGATCGATCTAGTGTTATTGATTTGACTTCCGATCAAGCTCGGATTTGTTGCTTTTTATTCATTCTTGCGCGTAGTGTTGATACCGCCACGCAAACTTGATAATCGAGAATACAATATAAAATATGTACAGATATTTTCAAAGTTTTAGAAAGGAGAGAGAGAGAATGATTTGGTAATAGAGATACACCAAATGCGTCGACACCGCCACGCAAACTTGATAATCGAGAATACAATATAAAATATGTACAGATACGTATTTTCAAAGTTTTAGAAAGGAGAGAGAGAATGATTTGGTAATAGGGATGCACGGGGAAAACGATTGAGAACCACTCAAATTAAACGCCTGTATATGAACTCGCTTAAATCTCTTTTGGGTCGTGTTTCGATTTGTTTCATTTCAATGTGTTTTTAATTTTCCATACTTTTTTTTTTTTTATTATTATTATTTATTTGCGATCGGGGTGGAATACAATAGGTTAACATTTTTGAATTCTTCAATTTTTCAATTCAGCAGTAGTCTGGTTTCATCTGTCTACGTTTGTATGACAGCTGCAATTAAGAACTTTGTAATTTTGAAATTAACTACTAACTTCATAAATCTGAAATTTTGGAATAACATAATGAGTAAACTCTACTGCGAAGCATTTGTCTTGTCACAGTTTGTACGGTGAAGCATCTAGTCTTTATCTGAACTTATCATTTGTATAGGATCGGCCGGCGAATCAAGAAAAAGATGGCAAGGATTTAGTTCCTCTCGCACACCTTCCGCCACGAGCTTGACCACTCCTCCTAGCTCGTACTCTCATCGCAATATCATCGTGCCGAAGAGGGTTACTCCTACCTCTACAGAATGGCGGTATGTGGGTTCTCTAGTGTCATCTCGCGAGAGCTTGACTCCTGCTTCTCCTTCCTCCCTCAGCCCCCGAGAATGTGCCTCCGCTACTTTTCAGTATGGCCTCAACACTTCCCTCTCCAGGTGGAGCAGCTCCAGGTGAGTTGTTTTTCTTTCACTTTTTAAAATATAAATTGCATTACATTTAACCTTGTGCAACGCAACTATTACTTGCTTAAATTACGTTTGGTGAATGGCAGTATGCATTCGGAATGTCACTACTCGTAACATCTACCATATTATTTTCTCTCGTATTCCCTCCTTTTTTAACTAATTTTATAGTCCGAAAATCATAGGGAAAAATTGGGCGAGTAATTTAATTTCGAAGAATATCTTTACATTATGTGCGTAACAAATCAAAAGCAGTCATGGGTAAAATACTAGTAACTACCACAATATTATTTCTTTAAAAAAAAAAAAAAAAGCTAAATGCGGTTTAGAATACATTGCAGTATTAAAATTATTATTTCTAGCGAATATTAAGCCGATATCTCTGACCATAACTGAGCCGTACGTTTCAATTGCCATGTAAAGCCCATGAGAACTTTACATGAATGAGTTTTGATCACAGTTACCAAGACGTGCTTTGGAATAAAGGAGAAGGGGGCGAACAAAAGACCCGGATTTCGAAAGGTCGAACACATCAGCACTAGATAAAGTTGCAATGAGCTTAAACGTAAAAAGTAGAAATAAGGTGAAATCACATATTTCTAAAGTTTCCTTAGGCGTGAGAACACCTGCTACGGCCTTTTAGCTTAACCAAGAATCTGCACGAAAAGCGTTTCAAATGACAAATGCACGAGAAAATAAAATGAATGAAATGCTAATATCAAAATGCAAATACAAATTGAATACATTGAATAAAAATAACCAAAAGAATGCAGTTTATGAATAAACTAGTCCTCAGAGGGGAAAACTATGTACAACAGAGGAAGGAGAAAATTATTCGGATCTTTTAAAAACTTTTCAAAACTGAAAAAACAGTTATAACTCAGCCCTTGAGCGGGATGAATTTTTTTATTATTCATTTAAAATACGTTCAAAGTTCAGTTTCTATAATTAATGTTTCGTAACTTTTTTTTTATATTTTATTATTATTATTATTATTTTAATGTTAGTATAAATTTTTCGTAATCCTGCACAACAAAGCAGGTGTAACCTAGTCTATTTTAGTGCCACGGCTCTAGAACAAAGCAGATATAGGACATAGAAACTTTTTGTGTATCCTAACGCAATATTTGTCATTTATTTTTTTTAACAGGATAGCTATATCATCTCGGTTGTGTCGCGTTGTTTCTAAGCCTCAGTTAATAATTTTTTTTAATTGGCTATGATGCCATTATTAACCATTGCGGCCAAACTGTATATATACGTTCAAAAATATTATTCATGATATCTTTTAGTACACATATATCTTGAAATGTGTCCAGACAATTAAAGTATGTATATTGGAAGAAAACTCGAAAAATCCGTTAATGTTTGCTGGTCATCCTTGTATAGAGTTTGCTCTTGACTATCCGTGCTAATGCCAGGGAAGCAGGTTGCGGATAATTGTAAAACACTAATAATCCAAGCTATCAATTTTCATTCATATAGTGCGTGTTTATTTCTTCAAAAAATCGGTAATTTTGCTTTGTTTTTGACAACGTTTAAATATTTGTTGAATTACACTGTTATTTAATCATTTTATTAAAATCTCCTTTGGTCGACGAAGTCCAACATAGTTCAACGAAAGTCATTGCTATCTCGGGGCTAATGCAATTGCCTGTATCTTTGCTTGTATTTTCAGTATCGCTCTCTGCCTCTCTTATTCTTGTGATATTTGAAACCATATTCTTATTGAAAGCCCGACTCGGTCGAATCGCTATCGAACCATACTCCATGTTTTCCCGATTGGCATTCTCGAAAAATTTTACGTATTCAGTTTTTTGGCATACAAATTAAGTTATTACCACGACTTCTCCACAATGAGATAAATATCCGATTTCTATATTGAGAAGAATCTTTCGTCATACTCGGACATGTGCATGTTTCCCCCCCTCCACTCTCGCGCATAACATTGGGTGTGCGTCCACACACGGTTAATTTGCACCCGTATAACCGAGACTACCCTGTATTTTGCTATAATCCTATTATTATTTGAAAAAACAATTATAATGAATGTTTCTCAGTCCTAAATAGTGTATTCAAAAATAATTTATTTTCTAGGTTGAGCACCAGCAGTGCACCATTAACAGCATTAAGTGTGCATCGCTCGTTCAGACAACCTTACCTGGGCTGGAGAGCGGCTCAAGCATCCAGCGGTTATACTCCTAGTAGCGGGGGAGCTTCTAGATCTAGCCCTGGAGTAAGTCCTGTAGCAGCAACAACCCCTCTTCAGGGTAGCAGGTCTGAGTCGCCTCGAAGAGGGTCTCAAGAACATCATTATGGCTATGGTCTCCACCAAAATCAGGTGCGCACATTTCATTTTTGTTCTTCTCTTTTCCATAAACTCTTTCCTTTAGCCTGCGTAAAATTTAATATACATTATTTACTGTTTCGTTTTTTTTTTATTTATTTATTTTTCTTTTCTTTTCTTTAACGTTAAATGCATTCAGGACTTTGCTTTTGGGTGTGGCAGTAATTGCGTAGAAATAACATTCTTTCAAATTCTGAATGCGTCTGAGTTCTGCGCACCGTGGATTGTTATTTGGGATATTTTAATGTAATGTACTAATTACTTGCAATTTTGAGTGCAAGATCTCGAGTGATATCAAGAGTTCCCAGTGACATCAAGGGTTCGAGATTTTGTTTAAAATAAATTAAATAATTGTTTAAAAATTACATGTGCGGTATTGGTGCGCGGTCTAAGCATATTTCGTGCGCATGCGTCGATAGCGGATTTGCTGTTTAGATTGTTAACTTCAGTCGCATTTTGCAACGTAACTAGTTAATTACGTTAGTGGTTATATCACTAGTTAATAACGTAGCTAGTTGTACACTAGTCAACTCTTTGACATCCAAATTATTGGTTCTGTGTGTACTGATGGTGCCCCCTGGTATGTCAGCAAATAATCGGGTTCTTTCTTCTCATTGATGAAATAAGAGATTCTGCACTTAAAAGTTGCCCTCTGTTCCCTTCATTGAAATGCTTTGGCATCAAAATCATTACCTTCAAAGATGAAAAGTCCTTGACATTTTAGTGAAAATTACTTGTGACATAAACAGGAACAAAAAAAAAAATTTTTTTTAACTGCTTTAGGAGTGTGAGAAATTATTACAATTTTTTTTTAAGGTGCCGGACAGGAAAAATGCTGGGAACCTGTGAGCTAAGACGTGAAAAAAGGATTTTTTAATTTTCATGATTTACGTTTTCTTTCGCTTTCCTTACTAATAGACTCTTAATGCTTTTGGTTAATAATCCCAACTTAAAAACAGATGCTAGCAACTAATAGCTCAACTGAAATATATGATACGTTTTTATCATATTTTATCAATTAATAGCTCTAATTTTTTTATATTAAATCATTTTTACAAATGCATTTTCAGCTTTCATACATCTTGAAATTGGATCATTGTTTTCCTTCAGATAACGAGCGCAGCAACGTTGCGACCCGATGGCAGCGAGACGGCGGACAGCAGCTCGCGCATTTCTCCCTTGGCCTTGTATGATAATACCACCAATGTCTTCTTCAACAGCAGTGTTGAGATTCCGCATTCCGACTCCCATGCCTTCGACCAACAGCAGCGGTTTAGTTCCGCTGAGATGCGGCGGGACCGCTACTCATACACTCAATCCCTGTACAGTGGGACTGTGATCGTGTCTCCAGGAACTGCGGATGATGATAGAAGGAACTACAATGTGGACCAGGTACCAAGAATTGTGCCCGGCGTAGAGGAGGAGAGATTTTCGAGTGTTAAGTCTCCTCAGCCACCTCCTAGGATATGGATGGAATCATCATTTGTAGGCACCAAGAAGGATGGATCAGAACCCGTCCTTCAACCGACGAGATCCATTAGGATCGTTCCTAGTGACTCTGTTCGTGCCGGTACGGATAAATTTTCTAGCGCGAGAGGAAGTACTTCATCTTCTCTGAGGGGCACTTGTGCAACCCAGACATCCATGGGTGAGTACGTCTTGAGAGACTTTCGTAGGTTTGGCATAACGCTATGATTGTATGTGCAGTGAAGATATTCCAGGCCTATAGAATGAAATCAAATTTATCAATCTCACTGGTGACTGGAATTCTGAGTGCAAGCAGTAGAAGTATTAACTTCACCTCCAGCATGTATATGAGATAACACCACCACTTAGCTGCTACTAATAAGTTGTAGTTGGCTAGGTTTTTCTTGATTGATAATTAATATATTTAACAAATATCCTATTCTAATAGGATGCTATTTTTTGTCATTTATCTACTGCTGCTGCTTTTACTCCTAGATTGTTAAGTGATCTTCGAGATTGGTAAACTACTTCCTTTATCGTGATATTTGTACAGGATGGATAAGAGAACTGTTTCTATAAAAAGAAAATTTATTAAATTAATTTTGTAAATGGAGAGCTATTATAACATTCTTTTCCATTCGTGTATTTTTGCTAGCGTTGTATAGTGTATGCGTTATCTTTGACATTCCTGTAGATAATATTTGAATTGCATGCATTCTGCAAAGATGATCATTATTTTATTTAACTATTTGCTTTACACTTCATTTTGTTTAAATGTGATGTATCTATCTTAAATTTGTTTGTCTTTTTTATTTTTTTTAATGTTTCAGGCCAGTCCTTTCACATAAAGTAAACGGTCGTCATCATTTTATTTTAACTTTTTATTTTATTCAATCAGTTTTCATAATACTTCTAAAAAGCAACAGAGCTCAACAGCAAACGAAAATACTATGCGAGTTCGAAAGCTTCTTGTAGTACTTATGTAATTAAAAAAATTGGATTCTAGAAAGAATTTTTAATGTGCTTAAAGCTTGCTTTATTTTATAAACACTACTAAAAAATTTGACTTTACATTTTAAAACGTAGCATAATTTTTTTATGTAGTACAGTTTTCATAAAATGCATTATTTGAATATAATGGAAAAGAATTTCATTGTATTTTAATACGTTAAACATTTTTTAAACTGAGTTCGAATCTCGGCCACCTAAAGTCAAGTTAGGAATAGGCTTGAGTGAGAATATGCTGTTGCTCGATATTATAAGATAAAAATGAATATTTAAAAAGTATGTTTTATAAGCCCCGAATTTAAGTAGAAGCATTTACATAAAAGTGCAGTTATATTACTACTCTACTCACATTGACTGTGATAAATAAAAGAGAATTTGGACTTCAATTCGTTATAACTGCTTATTTTAGCATTTCTGATCTTTGCACCAAATGGCTGCTATTTTTATTGTACCTCTTGTAAAAAGCATTCATTATGCGCGATTAATTCATTAAGTGCGTTTACTGAATTTCGGCCTTTCTTTTTCGTCAACAAATGGCCATAATGCAATTGTTAAACGAAAATAGGTGTAAATATTGGTCTTTACAGTTAAATTATATTGTAGAGGTTTTTTTGGGGGGGGGGAGTCCGTTTTGGTTTTGAATAGAAAATCTGCAATAAAATTTATTAATTTATATTCTAAATTATTATTTTTAATTAGAAATCTTTGGTACTTACATATTAATGTAACCTTGGCGCAATTTAGAGATTTTTTATACAAATGGAAAGGTAAAAGTTACTTGTCGGGTGCAAGTCACGCAAACTTAGGCGACACCTGCTATCTACCAGATGTATCTCATCATTGTTCTCTTTAGAGATGCATCTCATCATTGTTTACCGGTTGATAAATCCGTTGAGCTATGTCATACATCCAGCATGGTTCTCATTTACAAGCATTACCGGTTTCGGTGACATGCTTCTAGTTTTATTGCAAGTTGTGATAAGTGACCATTTTACCCATGTAAAAGGACTCGCCTGAATATCCTCATTTCTTGTAAATATGTTCATTTGTGCAGCGAGAAAAAAAAATTATTGTTCATTTTCTGCATGATTATATTTTTCATTTTCTTTGCTTTGTTCCTCTCAGGAATTTTCATTATTTTTATTCTTTCAGTGTTATATTTATGAATGTTTCTTACTCTAAAATGAGCAATATTTTGTTTCATTTTACTAAAATTCATTTTTAGAAAGAAATAAAATTTATGTATCTTATTTGTTTTGTTTTAGTTTTATTATTTATTATTTCTTTTATTTTGCTATGATTTTAAACAGTTATTACATTTCTTTTTTTTAATATAAGTGAATACTGATATTTTTTATAATTATTTTTGCTCTCTAATATTTTACAAAATATCGATACCACATTAATATAACTTACAGTTCTAAAAATTTTATGAATTTGAATTATTGAGTACACGTTGGGTTCATTGACGTGTAGATACCGTACTTCGGTATACTTAACTGCAAATTAAGCTATTCAGCGTACTATATAGGTGTGGGGAATAGTAAAGTTTTGCAGTATGAATGTGAAATACGAGAGGTAAGAAAAGAGAATTTCAGTTTCTTCCCCTAAAATTTAATTGCAATCTTATAGGGCTCTTACTGTAAAATATTAAATCAATGTCTCTACTAGACTGACAAGCTAATTATCGTTCCGTTTGAATTAAGATGACAGAGATCGTGAGAAAGTTAAAGTAACCTTCTGTATCAGATCTTCAAACTAAACAGAATGCATCACTTGTAATAAAAATAACCTTCACCAATTGCAGATATTTAAAATAACGTAAGTTGAAATTCAAATTCAAGGTAACATAGTCAGAGACTACACTGAATGGTCTATTTCTGCTGGCTGAAATAATTTAACTGTGCGTTTTTGTGGTTTGGCTAGCAAAATGCCTAAAGACGGAATAATCTGTGACAGAGATGGCGGCAGGACCAAAACTTCAAGCGAAGTTGCCAAACGAGGCAGATTTTCAACCTTTTTTTTTTTTGCCCCACCCCCGCCCCTTTCACTATTGTTAGACTCATTCTTCCCTCTCCTTTCCAAAACTCAAAAAATACACATACATTTTAATTTAGGTTATTTCTCAATGCGTATTATGAATTAAACTACAAAAAGTATTGAAAATATTAATAGATATCAAAACTTCAATAAAAGTTTTATATATTCATAAATTAAATCTAAGTATTTAAAAGATAAATAAAAGGCTGACCGCATTTCTCCCCTAAAACTATGAAATTTCTCCTGCAATGGGGAGAACCCCTGCTCTAACTCTATAGCATTCAAAACCCTAATTTTAAATACTCAACCAACTAATTTTAATTTGTATTCGGGAGGACAAAAAGGAGAAGAAATAGTAAAGGTTTCATTCATAAGTAATTGCTTAATTAGCATAAAATGCTTTATAATCTCGTCCTGTCAAAATAATTTAAAAGTATTACGTAATATTCCTTATGAGTTAATATGCAAGAAATTGTTTCATAATCCACTTTTTTTTTTTTTTTTTTTTTTTTTTTTTTAAGGCCATGAAATTTTTAGAATTATTCTTAAGTGCAAAAAGTATTCAAGTACTCTAAAATTAACGCTAATCTAATACAAAATTTTTGTCCATTTGCCAAATTTTTAAGATTTGAAATGATAATCAGTAAAAACTGCCTTTTTTCAAATGATATTGTTATATGAATAACTCTTGCACAGATTATGTACCGCATTCCCCTCACGTATTTTTTTACTTTTCACTTCCTTGTTCTAAGTAAAGGAAGTATTGTAATCGTGAAAATTTTCGGGTATCCTATTTCGACGAAAATATCCATTTTGATCGCTCTCGAATCCATTTCAACAATCTTTTTGCGTGACATCTGTACGTATGGACAGAATATAGAACTTTTTTTCTCAAAACGGATTGTGAAATGGATTCAGAAGAGATTTTTTCGTGATGTCTGTACGTATATACGTATTTATGTATCTCGGATAACTCAAGAACGTTGAAATTTTGTACATGGGACTGCTATAAATATAGTTGTGCTCCTCCCTTTTTGGTTGCAATCGATCGAAACAAAAGTATATATAGAGAGAGACTGTTTATCATTAATTAAGGAAAAATCACAAAAATTACGATTACTCAAAACGTTACATGTAGAATTTAATGAAATTGGCAGTATAAAACACATAGTAAGATATAAAATAACATGAAACGAAATTACCAGGCAATTATGATGTTATAAAAATTAGCGTAAGTATAAGATGAACAGTTAGGATGTGCCAGTTCGGTATAGGAAAATTACCTTCAATATGAAGTTATGATCTTCCCTAGAAACAGTACAGCACATAACAGCGATGTGTGATGCTGTCAGTTATGCGGTTTCTCAGTTCTATATAACGTGAGAACCGTTGCTCTTGCAAAGCGTTTGCAAGCATGGAAAGGGTCTGAAGAGGAGAACTTAGAGTAGCTTATACATCTTCCTAGAATATTTCATACATGTTCGATAGGATTCAGGTCCGGTGATCGAGTTGGCCACTCTTTGCCTTGAATTGTTTGCTGCTGAAGATAATCATCCACGATGCGAGCCTTGTGCGGTCTAACGTTATCGTCCTGTAGCAGGAAATCATCACGTATCGCACATAAAGAATCAAGGATATCTCTGTAGGCCTCAGCATTCACAGTTCCACATGGAAAGACATGTAGGTCTGTGCGTCCAACCAAAGAGATACCACCCCAAACACGGACACTGCCTCCTCCGTATGCATCTCTTTCACGGACGTTTGATGGATCATAACGGGTTCCAGGTTCTATCCAATTTAAATAACGCCTACTATCGCTTTGAAGGCTAAATTTAAACTCAGCCATAAGGAGAACAGCCCTCCATTGATCAGCCAACCAGGGGACATACTGACGTCCCACCTTAAACGTTACCTTCTACGACGTGAGTGAGCGGCGCGCATATGAGTGGTCGCATCACGTGCAGATCTCTTTCGTGAAAACTTCTATGCACGGTTGACGGTGACATCAACTTTCTGGTGGCTTCGGTATAGGAGGATCTGAGATGAGTCGGGAGTTGCAGTTATATTCCTTCATGTATATTCGTATTCTTACAAAAAGGATCGGTCATCAGCGCCTGCCGTACCTGTTGGCCATCCTTAGCTGAATTTCTTAGATGCTGTAACTGTGGTTAGAAATTGTTGCTATAGTCTATGAACCACGGAAGGACTCACATTTAGCCATCTGGCCACTTCTGTCTATCTGACTTTGTCCTGCCTCTAGTTTCCCAATAGCTCGCCATCGCAGTTTTTTGGGCAAATGATGGCTAAAGGTTATTATTACGAATTGGCTATCCCACATTTCTTATCTCAGTATCAGACGGAAATTTGCAGATTTGCTCTCAAACAAGCAATTTTAGGCTCCTCGCAGATGACGTATACCAATCGCAGCGCCACTAATTTGCATCTGCAGTTTAACATAGTAGCAACTCTTATTTGACAACATATTCAAATTTAGGCTTGTTTTTGAATGAGTTATCGCTATTTTCGTGATTGTTTCTTAAATTTTGGAAATAAGTGAATATACCAACTCTCTTACCCGGCTCGGTGAGCTCAGTTTTTTATTTGTTATATGTTGGTAAATTGTGCATTCTTTGCTCTAAAAGTGATTAAATTATGTTCTTATTATGTTTGTTTGTAGAATTATTAACAATTTAAAAGTTGTTTAAGTGCTGGTAAGAAAAAGCATCCTTTAAAGTAGCAATGGAAAGTAATTTATTATAATATAATTAGAAATATATATGCAATAAAGTATAAACATTGATAACGTAGATGTTGATCCATAATTGAACAGCAAACTTGGCAGCCGAGGCAGATTGATTACATATTCATTTATATTTCAGTTGACATTTGTGGCCACAATTCACTTGACAGTCTAATCATGTCAATTTCAAAATATTAACATTTTTGATAGCTTTGCGTTAAGAAGAGAAGCAGCAGTTTACCTAGGCCGAAGTGCTGAAAGCAAGGGCTTAGTTATTCAGTGTAAAAGTTTAGTTACAGAGAAAGTTTTCGGTTCGAATTAACTACCCATCATAGCTATGTAGAACACGTATGATATGGATTAAACTAGAAATGGCGCAGTTCAGAAAAAGTTATTAAGAAATATCTGTTTTTAGATCAAAGAGGGGAAATACCCAAAATTAAAATGAAGAATTAAGCGGCTATTTGCTAATTTAATTTAGATTTATATATATTTTTATATATGTTACACACACACATACATATATTCAATATGCTGCTGAAAAATTAATCAAAAATTAACAAAAAGTAAATGTCTTTGTGACTTTAGTTCTAAACTTCTTTTGTCTATATATATATGAAATAATATGGAAATGTCGGTGGCGTATTCAGTTATATAGTGATTTATTTCCTTTTTATTCATGGTTAACAGACTTGTTTCATTAAGCCAACACAAATAAAATGGGCCCTATAGCGCCTTGTTCTTAAAAAAGAATTTTTTACATCGGTACCGATGGACTATTGAAATATATTTTTGAAGACAACAGGCGAAGGTAAGTTGCAAGAGTGAAAGGGAAAGCTAAAAGTGATGCATTCCGAAGAAAGCTTGAGACAGAAGAGTCAAAAGGTATTGGTTCTAAAAAAAAGTGCTTGGTTATAACATACCTGCAGTGACGTTAAGATCGTATGAGCGAATTAATTTTAAAATGACTCAGATTGATATCTTATAAATAGCACTAATTTTAGGATAGAAAAGGGGAAGTAACCAAATTAATATGAAGAGTAAGGGGTTACTATCAATTAAAATTACAAATTTGCGTTGCATATTTATATATAAACTTTTACAGAATTTTAATTTGAAAATTCAAGGACTCGTGTGAGCTTTCTAGATAGAAGAGAAACACGCCAAAGTAAAACGTAAAATTAGGCAAATCAGCAACCTAGTGTTTGGCATACATTTTAGTCAAGACGCTATCGATTTCGAGGGCAAACAAATGCATGTCCCTCTTCGTCAGCATCAAAGCAATCCGCTTTTCCTTTGTTACAGATTTCTTTGTTCCTGATGAAAGGGACTGGTACCTTTTCCCCTTGATTAAAATAAATGCCAAACGTAAGGTTGTTGCTTTGCATAATTTTATATT